TTTTTTTTTTTTTTTTTTTGGAGACAGAGCCTCAAGCTATCCTCCTGGGTAGGGTGCTGTGGCATCATAGCTCACAGCAACTCCTGGGCTCAAGCGAGTCTCCTGCCTCAGCCTCCCAAGTAGCTGGGACCACAGGTGCCTGCCACAATGCCCGGCTATTTTTTAGTTGCAGCTGTCATTGTTGTTTTGGCAGGCCCAGGCTGGATTCGAACCTGCCACTTTAGGTGTATGTGACTGGCGCCTTAGCCACTTGAGCCACAGGTGCCGAGCCGAGTAGTCTTATTTATGACCTCTCACTTGATGAAGAGTGGGTTAGCAAATAGATGTACAGATTCAATACAATTCTTGTCAAAATCTCAGCTGCCTCTTTTTTTTTTTTTTTTTTTGGAGAAATTGAGAAACTGATCCCAAAATTCATATGGAAATTCAAGAGACTCAGAAAAGCCAAAAGAATTTTCATGAAGAAGAACAAAGTAGGAGGACTCATGTGTAATTTGAAAACTTGTTACAGAGCACCAGTAATTAAGACAGAGAGGTATTTGCATAAGGATAGGTATATGGGATAAAATGAAAACTCTAGAAATAAGTCCTCACATATAGTCAATAAATACTCAACTAGAGTGCCAAGACAGTTCAGCAGGGAAAGAATAGTCTCATCAACAAATGATGCTGGGGCAATTGGATATCCACATACAAGAGCGTGAAGTTGGACCTCTACCTCACACCATACAGACAATTAGCTCAAAATGGGTCACAGACCTAAATGTAATGGCTAAAACTATAAAACTCTGAGAAGAAAACAGAGGTGTAAATTTTTGTGGCCTTGTTTTAGGCAATGATTTGTTACATATGGCACCAAAAGAACAACTAAATAAAGAAAAAAAGATAAATTGGACTTTATCAAAATGAATAACCTTTGTGCATCAACATATACTATGCAGAAAGTGAAAGACAACCCACTGAGTGGGAGAAAATATTTGTAAATCATGTATATCACAAAGGTGTAGTATCCAGAATATAAAGGGAACTGTTACAGTCCAGTAATAATAAGACAAATAACCCAATTAAAAAATGTGCAATAATAAGGCAAATAACCCAATTTAAAAACCTGAATAGATATAAATAATTAGCTAATAAATACATGAAAAGATACTTAACATCACTGGTATTAGGAAAATACAAGTCAAAATCACAATGTCATACCATTGCACACCCTTTAGGATGGACAGTAACAAGTGTCGAGGGGGATGTGGAGAAATGAGAACCATTGTGCTGGCAAGGGTGTAAAATGGTGTCACCAATAGGGAAAACAGTTTGGCTGTTCTTAAAAGTCAACATATGACCCAGCAATTCTACTCCTAGATGTGTATGAAAACATTGTCCATGAGAGAGTTAGAAACATAGTTCACTCAAAAACTTGTACACAGATGTCTGTAGCATAATTATTCATAATAGCTCCCAAGGGAAGACCACCCAGTGTCCATCTGGTGATGAAAGGGTAAATAAAATGAGGTATATCCCTACAGCGGGATATTACTCAGCCATAAACAGGAAGGAAGTACCGAAACATGCCACCACACTGCTGAACCTGGAGAACATTACCCTAAACCAGTGGTTCTCAACCTTCCTAGAGCTGCAACCCTTCAATACAGTTCCTCATGTAGTGACCCCCAGCCATAAAATTACTTTTGTTGCTACTTCATAACTGTAATTTTGCTACTGTTATGAATCGTAATGTAAATATCTGATATGTAGGATGGTCTTAGGCGACCCCTATGAAAGGGTCGTTTGACCCCCAAAGGGGTCGCGACCCACAGGTTGCGAACCACTGCCCTAAGCCAAAGACACTAGACACAAGACCACATACTACGTGGATGCACCTGTGCAACTTGTCCAGAGTAGGCAAATCCATAGAGATTGTAGCTGAACAGTTGCCAGGGGCTGGAACAGGGGTCCTCAAACTTTTTCAACAGGAGGCCAGTTCACTGTCCCTCAGACCGTTGGAGGGCCGGACTGCAGGCCCTGGGACAAGTCGGCTGCTAAGCAGGAGAGGCAGTGGCAGCAAAAACACCCGGTGGGCCAGATAAATGTCCTAGGTGGGCTGCATGTGGCCTGCGGGCTATAGTTTAAGGACGCCTGGGCTGGAGGGTAGGGAGAATGGGCCTGACTGATAATGAAGTGGGATGATGATTGGACAAGTTTGTCACTATACTAAGATCCATTCAATTATATACTATAAAACAGTGAATTTGATTGTATGTGAATTATATCTCAATTTTCAAAAAGTGGGCTAATGTGTGATCTGCGCACTCAGGCTCTGGTATTGGTTTAGTCTCTTACAGCAACCTCTGCATCCTAGGAGTCAGGCCCCCACCCTTCCTCTGCTGTCTGTCTCATGAAGGGGATTCCAGGACAGAGAAACCCGTGTGCTTCCCTGTGTGTGCACGTGGGAGCCACCTGGCTTCATTTCCAGTGCTGCTGTGTGCGGCTTTTTTAAACCCCCTGCTTCCCCTTCCCACAGGTTTGGTTCTGTGGCTCCAGACGGACGGTACCATTCACCTATTAAGAACAAGAGTGCAAGATTCAATGCGATGCTGGCAGCACTGACCCCTTCACGATTAGCTGTGGCTTTCCAAGCTATGGGTGCCATGAAGGTAGTTGACTCTGATTTCAATTTATCTCGATGTTAATTCTCTGTGTGATCCAGGGATGGGTAATAGTTCCAGGAGCTGAACTTCTGAGCCTTGGTTGGTGTATATGGCCGTGGTTAGTTCCTGAGTAGGTAACCATACGCAGGGGACATTACTACACTTTTCAGGATGAGAGCCCATCCCCCTGTATCCTAGATGTGTGCACAAATCACAGTGATGGACAGGGATGTGGCAACACAGCCACAAAGATGACCCAAGGAGAATGGGTTGTTTAGGGCACATCTGCTAGAAAGAGCTGGCTCACGTCAGCATACCTTGTCTGAGTCCACTGGGGAGTGTTGATCCTCACATGGCTGTCTAGGGTGTGGCGTTAAGTATCCCAGGTAGGATTTCATGAAGCCAGACCTCCAGAAGCCATCTCACTCTCTTCCCCCAAGTTCTCATATACTGGTTTGAATAAAGCAAATTCCCCAGGGCTCTACTGTTTGTTCCCTGTGCTCTCTTTGCCTGGGGGAAAAGCTTATTTTGAGCTCCACTGAGCTTAGTGAAGCTGGGAGAAAAATTGAGACTTCCTAGGAATATACATTTGTGGCTTGAGTCCAGCTTTTCCATCAAGACAGAGTAAATTTCACTCACCTGACTCCAGTCCTGACGCAGCCTGCATTTGTCTGAATAGCAGGAAAATTGGACTTTACAGGCTTCTACAGGGTCCTCCATGCTTCACAGGCAGCCTGCCCTGGCCCGGGCTTCCCCTTACCCTGCTCATCCCATGAGTGGGCACAGCTGTGACACTGACCACACGTGTGCTCACTCCTAATCCCACGACCTCACGCCTGCCCCAGCCCTGCCCAGTTCCTCTGCAGTGGCCATTTCCATGGGGTGAGGTGGCCGATCAGGTCTGAAGTCCCATGTCAGGAGTGGCTCAGCTGGTCCCTTAGCTGGGCTGTCTGACCAGTGAGGCCCCAGGGAGCCTTGTGGAGAAGGCGCTAGCACAGACAGCATCAAAATGCTGAGGAAAACTGGTTCTTCAAGTCTGTAATAGAAACCATGTCAGCCATCTTCAGGACCCCAGAAAGAGGCAAAAAGAGAAACGCCTAGAACTGGAGGCTGGGATTGCATGGACAACAAGATGGCTAAACCCCTGGTTTAAGGTTATCACAGAGTGTCCCTGCCAACCGCACAGACTCTCAGCAGACCTGACTGAGGCTCCCTTTGAGGAGACTTCTGGGCGAGTATAGAAAATGTGTGCAGGTCCTGGGCTGGGCAGGCTGCCGGCCACTCTGTGCTCTTGCCGTCTGGGTATGGGCGATGGTATGGGACAGACCACAGCCCTGTGAGCAGCCAGCAGCTGTGAGCTCACTGAATCCCTGGTGTAGTTGTGTGGGGGACAGGCAGGGGTGAGGACCTCTGGGAGGGCCTTGGTTTAAAATGTCACCAGATCTGGAGCAGTGTGGGGATGGGGAGAGGAGATAGCAGGTGATTTTTAAGAGGCTCCTGGTCTCTTTTCTGCCAAATATTATCAAGAGCCAGCCCCTGCCAGCCCCAGAGGGTCTCAGGGCCCACATTTGCACTAGCTCCTTCCTGAGCATCTGATGTGCATAGTTTGTTCCTGGCAACAGAGAGGCATTTCTTCATGGTCTAAAATGTAGGAAAAAAGTAAAAAATGTGTGAAAAATGTAGAGGCATGATCATGATTGCACTCTCTGAAGTCAGAAAACTCTGAGCTCCAATCTCATCCCCAATGTGACCGTCATTGGTGCTGTGGACAAGTCAGTAGCTTCTTCTTAGCCTCAGTTTCTTCCTCTGTAAGATGGGTCTTGTGATACTGCTGAGTGAAGGGATGGGTGTGCAGTGCTGGCACTGAGAAAATGCTCCATAGCTATTACTAAAAGTGATGGTTGTTGTTCTTGCTACTGCTGCTGCACTGTGGCTGGAAGAGAAGGGCTGACCATAGGAAAGGAGTAACAGGCTTTCCCATGAAACAAATGCCTGGAATCTCGGCCTCCAGGTAACAAGGCAATCTGAAATGCTCTGCAGAGGTGCGCAGAGCATCCTTTGGTTCCTGGGACCGTAGAAACCAGGAATAATTGACACCTGCCTGCCCATCCACACCTTCCCAGGCATTGGGATTGCTGGGCAATAGAGAGATCCCACATTGAGGCTGGCGGGGTGAGAGGGGTGGGGCTGGGGGGCTTAGACCCTGTGTAGTCTGGGCACCCTGCCGGACAGCAACCCGGCCGCTGTGATCTCATTGCAAGTGTCTCTGGCGAGGATGATCTCACCGGCGCTCTTGGCAGCTCCCCCTCTGCTGTGGCTCAAACACAGGACATATGTTTTCCCTGCTGAAACCTAAGATGGTCCTGCTCGTTCTGCTCTCGCTGATGAGTGGAAAAAAGGATCCCTTTCTTCTGCGTGCATTCCTTGTATATTAGAAAACTGTCACCGTGGCTCCCCACAGTGACATTCACTCAAGGCTGAGCATGCCTGGTCCTTTTAAACTTTGCCCAGATGTCTTATTTTTCATGGTTATCTTTTATTTCCGTGACGTTCCTCAGCACTTTCAGATCTTCTCTGAAAGCCTTGCCGTGATAGCCATCCTCTAATTTGCGTCCAAAATGCCAGACCAAATAAACGCTTATTAGCAAGGACACAAGGAATAGGAAATGAAGATGGAAGTGGGGAGTGGAGGGAACTCTGCATTCTGTACAGGGAGGCTGGGAAGCCTTTTGCAGGAGAAGAGCAGGGACACCGGTGGGAGTGAGCAATGTAAATGAGGTCAGCACACCCTTTGGGGTTGATTTTGCATGGAAGTAAATACTTTTAAGACAAGCTCACCTTTTAAATTAGGTGCTGCCCAGTAGCTGGATTCCACCTGCAGAGTATGTGATTTGGCAGCTCTGGGGCGGGTTTGGAGAATCTGAATTTCTGACAAGTTCCCCAGGGGATACACTGGGCAACTCACCTTGCCTCGGGAACCCCTGCATAGAACAGATGGGGTATGGTGGTTATAAATACTTGGCAGGCACCATCAGGGGTCCCCCGTGTGATTCCCAGGATCAAGGTCCAAGTTCTCCCATCTGCAGGGCCCTTTGTGACCCCCC